ATCAAGGCATATTATATATATACTGTATCTTCCCTCTAACAGGCAACTTTATTAAAAGCAAGGCAAAAAAATAAACAGTAACGACACAAAACATGAAACAAGAAAATGCATCTGGAATGTTGAATAAATAAAAATACTCCACCTCAAGACTCTTCCTGGAGCTGGCCACCCGGCCAAACTGAGCAATCGGGGGAGAAGGGCCTTGGTCAGGGAGGTGACCAAGAATCTGATGGTCACTTTGACAGAGCTCCAGAGTTCCTCCGTGGAGATGGGAGAATCTTCCAGAAGGACAACCATCTCTGCAGCACTCCACCAATCAGGCCTTTATGGTAGAGTGGCCAGATGGAAGCCACTCCTCAGTAAAAGGCACATGACAGCCCTTGTGGAGTTTGCCAAAAGGCACCTAAAGACTCTCAGACCATGAGAGACAAGATTCTCTGGTCTGATGAAACCAAGATTGAACTCTTTGGCCTGAATGCCAAGCATCACGTCTGGAGGAAACCTGGTACCATCCCTACGGTGAAGCATGGTGGCAGCATCATGCTGTGGGGATGTCTTTCAGCGGCAGGGACTTGGAGACCAGTCAGATCAATGGAAAGATGAACAGAGCAAAGTACAGAGAGATCCTTGATTAAAATCTGCTCCAGAGCGCTCAGACTGGGGCGAAGGTTCAACTTCCAACAGGACAACGACCCTAAGCACACAGCCAAGACAACGCAGGAGGGCTTCGGGACAAGTCTCTGAATGTCCTTGAGTGGTCCAGCCAGAGCCCGGACTTGAACCAGATGGAACATCTCTGGAGAAAACTGAAAATAGCTGTGTAGTGATGCTCCCCATCCATATTTCCGTTTTTTTTATTTTTATAAATTTGCAGGAAATTCTACAAACCTGTTTTCACTTTGTCATTATGGGGTATTGTGTGTAGATTGATGAGGGGAAAAAACGATTTAATCAATTTTAGAATAAGGCTGTAACGTAACAAAATGCAAAAGAGTCAAGGGGTCTGAATACTTTCCGAATGCACTGTAGATAGATAGATAGATAGATAGATAGATAGATAGATAGATAGATAGATAGATAGATAGATAGATAGCATACCACCCTTGCCGTAAGAGTTGCCCATGTTGTACGAGGCCCCTCCGCGGTCATAATGAGGATGGGCTGTGGCTGAGTTCACTGCAATGTACTGAATCCAGTCCACCTATGAACATGAGGACACACATTATCACCATTTCTGAATGCACTGTATGTAGACATGTATATCTGTGTTGTGTTACTGTCTGGGATCTAGTTCAGGAGGGGCCAGTTTGGTCCACAGACGGTCCCAGAAGGCAGACTGCAGGGCTGGGTCCTTGGGCCAGTCTAGGTAGGTCCTGGTCTTGACCGAGGGGGGATGTTCCCTGGGAAGACCAGGATGAGGTTGTCCCTGTGCTCTACCAGCAGACCGAGGGTGGCCAGTCGCAGCTCCAGTGAGCCCCAGTTACTGCGCAGGTAATGACGACTCACCACACACAGGGTGTGGCGGCTGCCGTAGAGGTTGTCTGTGATATTGTCCACAATGTTCTTCCCCAGCTGGAAGTTCCTGCTATGCAGACAGATATGCAGGAAGGGAGGCCCCTCTGCTCCAGGCCCGGCAGCAGCTGCTCCACCACCCAGCACTCATCTCTACCACTGTACGACACAAAGGCTTCTGTACCTTCTTCCCCAGTCAGCCACGAATGATATGGAAGCATGCCAGCAGGTAGTCCTCAGCCAGCTGATGGAGCAGGCCCAGAGAGGTGAAGATGAACAGGACAAAGCCCACATCCAGGGAACAGTTGGCCTCTGAGTACCTGGTGAAGTTATGGATGCCGTTCTCATCTTTGCAGGTCAGATCAGCCTTATTGGTGTGCCAGATAATGACCTGGATATGCCTCTGACCCTGGCCCAGGTGTCCATCCAGGTGTCTTCACATCTGCAGTGCAGACGAGGTCTGTAAAACAACAGATAACTCAGGCTGGTCAGGGACTCTGGGAAGTCCTTCAACACACTGAAATCCTCTTTGACTTTGATTGACAGCTGCCTGAGGGAGTGCAGGTCTCTGCTCAGCTCCTCCTCCAGAGGTTCAGGTTCTCCATCCTGGTCAGGTTACGGAACATGATGGCCAGCCTTGATTGCAGGATGAGGTCCACCCATTTCAGCTTAAGATACCTCAGCTGCACAAGTGTATTCAGGTCAGTCATGTCTACAAACTCTGCTAGAGCATAGACTGGAAGTCAAAATACTCCAGGGAGGGGAACTACTTTGCAGCGAAGTGAGATCCACACAGGAGGTGCTCCGCTATTGCTTTGAGGCTGACGACGGACTTGAAGAATGGCTTCCCACAATAACTTGGGTGAATTTTGGCCCATTCCTCCTGACAGAGCTGGTGTAACTGAGTCAGGTTTGTAGGCCTCCTTGCTCGCACACGCTTTTTCAGTTCTGCCCACAAATCATCTATAGGATTGAGGTCAGGGCTTTGTGATGGCCACTCCAATACCTTGACTTTGTTGTCCTTAAGCCATTTTGCCACAACTTTGGAAGTATGGTTGGGGTCATTGTCCAATCGGAAGACCCATTTGCGACCAATCTTTAACTTCCTGACTGATGTCTTGAGATGTTGCTTCAATATATCCACATAACTTTCCTTCCTCATGATGCCATCTATTTTGTGAAGTGCACCAGTCCCTCCTGCAGCAAAGCACCCCCACAGCATGATGCTGGCACCCCCATGCTTCACGGTTGGGATGGTGTTCTTTGGCTTGCAAGCGTCCCCCTTTTTCCTCCAAACATAACGATGGTCATTATGGCCAAACAGTTATATTTTTGTTTCATCAGACCAGAGGACATTTCTCCAAAAAGTAAGATCTTTGTCCCCATGTGCAGTTGCAAACCGTAGTCTGTTTTTTTTATGGCGGTGTCACGATCGTCTTGAAGAGAAGTAGACCAATACGCAGCGTGTTGAGCGAACATGATTGACTTTATTACCGTCAGTGATAATAAGCACACTACACAAAACAATAAACGACTCGTGAAGTCCTCAGTGACAATGACCGAACACGGAACAAAAACCCACAACACCCAAGGGAAAACATACAGTTTAAATATGGCTCCCAATGAGAGACAACCCACAACAGCTGACACTCGTTGCCTCTGATTGGGAGCCACTCTGGCCAACATAGACATAGAACAACTAGACACTCAAAACACAGCACATAAACACACGGAATCTACACACCCTGGCTCAACACATAAAGTCCCCAGAGCCAGAGTGTGACAGTACCCCCCCCCAAAGGCGCGGACTGCGACCGCGCCTCAACAAAACCCAAACAGGGGAGGGCTGGGTGGGCATTCCTCCTCGGAGGCGGCTCCGGCTCCGGGCTTGACCACCACCCTTCCATAATTCCCCCGTAGCGCCCCTGGTCCGGTCTGACCCCGCTGGCTGGATCTGGACTGGACATCGACGGAGCGGATTGCTTACGCTCCGTTGTGGAGCAGCTGACCGGTACCTGATCAGGCACCGGACTGACGACGCGCACCCCTGGCTTGGCGCGTGAGGCAGGAACGGACCGGACCTGGCTGACGATGCGCCCCCCTGGCTTGGTGCGTGGAGCAGCAACGGACCGGACCGGGCTGACGATACGCACCCCTGGCTTGGTGCGTGGAGCCGGAACGGGCCTCACCGGACTGACGACTCGCACCCTTGGCTTGGTGCGTGGAGCAGCGACGGGCCGGACCTGGCTGACGACTCGCACCCCGGGCTTGGTGCGAGTAGCCGGAACGGGCCTCACCGGACTGACGACTCGCACCCTTGGCTTGGTGCGTGGAGCAGCGACGGGCCGGACCTGGCTGACGACTCGCACCCCGGTCTTGGTGCGAGTAGCAGGAACGGGCTGAACCAGGCTGACGACTCGCACCCTTGGCTTGGTGCGTGGAGCAGCGACGGGCCGGACCTGGCTGACGACTCGCACCCCGGGCTTGGTGCGAGTAGCAGGAACGGGCTGAACCAGGCTGACGACTCGCACCCCTGACTTGGTGCGAGTGGCAGGAACGGGCTGGACCAGGCTGACGACTCGCACCCCTGGCTTGGTGCGAGTGGCACGAACGGGCTGAACCAGGCTGACGACTCGCACCGCTGGCTTGGTGCGAGAGGCAGGAACGGGCTGGACCAGGCTGACGACGCACACCGTAGGCTTGGTGCGTGGAGCAGGGACAGGCCGGGCTGGGCTGGCGACGCACACCGTAGGCTTGGTGCGTGGAGCAGGGACAGGCCGGGCTGGGCTGGCGACGCACACCGTAGGCTTGGTGCGTGGAGCAGGGACAGGCCGGGCTGGGCTGGCGACGCACCCCGTAGGCTTGGTGCGTGGAGCAGGAACAGGCCGGGCTGGGCTGTCGACGCACACCGTAGGCTTGGTGCGTGGAGCAGGGACAGGCCGGGCTGGGCTGGCGACGCACACCGTAGGCTTGGTGCGTGGAGCAGGGACAGGCCGGGCTGGGCTGGCGACGCACACCGTAGGCTTGGTGCGTGGAGCAGGAACAGGCCGGGCTGGGCTGGCGACGCACACCGTAGGCTTGGTGCGTGGAGCAGGAACAGGCCGGGCTGGGCTGGCGACACACACCGTAGGTTTGGTGCGAGTGGCAGGAACAGGCCGGGCTGGGCTGGCGACGCACACCGTAGGCTTGGTGCGTGGAGCAGGGACAGGCCGGGCTGGGCTGGCGACGCACACCGTAGGCTTGGTGCGTGGAGCAGGGACAGGCCGGGCTGGGCTGGCGACGCACACCGTAGGCTTGGTGCGTGGAGCAGGGACAGGCCGGGCTGGGCTGGCGACGCACCCCGTAGGCTTGGTGCGTGGAGCAGGAACAGGCCGGGCTGGGCTGTCGACGCACACCGTAGGCTTGGTGCGTGGAGCAGGGACAGGCCGGGCTGGGCTGGCGACGCACACCGTAGGCTTGGTGCGTGGAGCAGGGACAGGCCGGGCTGGGCTGGCGACGCACACCGTAGGCTTGGTGCGTGGAGCAGGAACAGGCCGGGCTGGGCTGGCGACGCACACCGTAGGTTTGGTGCGAGTGGCAGGAACAGGCCGGGTCGGGCTGGCGACGCACACCGTAGGCTTGGTGCGTGGAGCAGGGACAGGCCGGGCTGGGCTGGCGACGCACACCGTAGGCTTGGTGCGTGGAGCAGGAACAGGCCGGGCTGGGCTGGCGACGCACACCGTAGGTTTGGTGCGAGTGGCAGGAACAGGCCGGGTCGGGCTGGCGACGCACACCGTAGGCTTGGTGCGTGGAGCAGGAACAGGCCGAACCGTACTGGGAACACACACCACTGGCCTTAAACGGGGATCAGGAACGGGCCGGACCGGACTGGCAATACACCTCAGTACCTCTCGCCGTGCCTCTACAACTTCCTTCCCTCCTCTCGCCAATGGCTCCCGTAACCCGGTGGCCTTCTCTCCTCGTCTCCCATTTCGCCCTGTGGCAGCCTCCTGCTGCCCAGTCGCCCATGCCGTGTGCCCCCCCCTAAAAAATTCTTGGGGGTGCCTCTCGTCCTTCCGACGATGGCACTGCTGACGCCGCTGCTCCTCTCTCGCCAGGGCCTTAATCCTACCCCAAGGTCCCTTGCCCCCGAGCATGTCTTCCCAGGACCACGATTTGCCCACCTGGGCCATCGCCAGCCTCTCCATCTCCTTTCCTGGCGCTTCCTCCCATGTCCAGTCTGCCTGCTCCTGGACACGCTGCTTGGTCCTTTTACGGTGGGTTTTTCTGTCACGATCGTCTTGAAGAGAAGTAGACCAATACGCAGCGTGTTGAGCGAACATGATTGACTTTATTACCGTCAGTGATAATAAGCACACTACACAAAACAATAAACGACTCGTGAAGTCCTCAGTGACAATGACCGAACACGGAACAAAAACCCACAACACCCAAGGGAAAACATACAGTTTAAATATGGCTCCCAATCAGAGACAACCCACAACAGCTGACACTCGTTGCCTCTGATTGGGAGCCACTCTGGCCAACATAGACATAGAACAACTAGACACTCAAAACACAGCACATAAACACACGGAATCTACACACCCTGGCTCAACATATAAAGTCCCCAGAGCCAGAGTGTGACAGGTGGTTTTGGAGCAGTGGCTTCTTCCTTGCTGGGTGGCCTTTCAGGTTATGTCGATATAGGACTCGTTTTACTGTGGATATAGTTACTTTTGTACATGTTTCCTCCAGCATCTTCACAAGGTCCTTTGCTGTTGTTCTAGGATTGATTTGCACTTTTCGCACCAAAGTACGTTCATCTCTAGGAGACAGAACGCGTCCCCTTCCTGAGCGGTATGATGGCTGCGTGGTCCCATGGTGTTTATACTTGCGTACTATTGTTTGTACAGATGAACGTGGTACCTTCAGGCGTTTGGACATTTCTCCCAAGGATGAACCAGACTTGTGGAGGTCTACACATTTTTTTCTGAGGTCTTGGCTGATTTCTTTTGATTTTCCCAGGGTGTCAAACAAAGAGGCACTGAGTTTGAAGGTAGGCCTTGAAATACATCCACAGGTACACCTCCAATTGACTCAAATGATGTCAATTAGCCTACCAGAAGCTTCTAAAGCCATGACATCATTTTCTGGAATTTTCCAAGCTGTTTAAAGGCACAGTCAACTTAGTGTATGTAAACTTCTGACCCACTGGAATTGTGATACAGTGAATTATAAGTTAAATAATCTGTCTGTAAACAATTGTTGGAAAAATTACTTGTGTCATGCACAAAGTATATGTCCTAACCGACTTGCCAAAACTATAGTTTGTTAACAAGAAATTTGTGGAGTGGTTGAAAAACGAGTTTTAATGACTCCAACCTAAGTGTATGTAAACTTCCGATTTCAACTGTATATGAACTTGTCTGATTGATTTTTTTAATACAATCTCACAAACAGATTCAAAATAAAAGTTTTTCTTGTTGTACCCAAAATGACGCAGTCTGCTGATACCAGATTGCAGAAGCTGTGTCTGTAGCTCATCGTTGTCAGGCAAAGAAAGAGATTAGATGTTTTCAAAGCATTTGAATGCTCCTTTTTCTAAACAGTGTGCTTTAGGCAAGTAAAGAAATCTTGAAGACAATAGAAATAAGGAAGCTCAAGAACAGCTCTGTTGGTGTCTCAAAATGACTGTCCCATCTGAATTAAAGTCTAGGGTCGTCAATGACTTTGACATATTGACTATCCTACATAGCAAATCAGAGCGCTCCTGTGTACAGGTGTTGACTGTGAGTTTCTTCAGAAGAGGGATCCCTCCCAATGCATCCAGTACCATCACAGAAAGCCTGTAGTTCACAATGGACAATTCCTCAAGATTAATCAGGTCACTGAATGTGTTAGATAGAAGTGAGGAATTGTAACACTGTGACACACAGAAAATATAGTCTCTTTACATGGGACAGCCCCTTGAAGGTTCCAGGCAGAATCGTGGGCAGACAGCCTCATGTGTGAATGGTCTCAGTGGTGGAAAATCAAGAGAGCTCTCCAGACTGCATCACAGATCCACTCCTGATCTCGAAACAGAGAGCCTGGTAGTTTGATGGAACAATAGAAAAGTTGAGTTTGAGATTGCATACATCCTAGCAAACGGCAGTTAGGTTGCTGTGAGGGCAGGAACTGCTGTGAATGGACAACCAGTAGTGGATTGTCTTGTCATAGAGGACACATGTATTACTCAACCAACCCCAGGAGCTGATGATCCAAACCACCAATAGTCCAAATTGAACCGAGACCAGCCTTCTGGTCTGCTGGAATGATGTCTTGGTCGTTTATGTAGTTTGTTTAAGGGAATTACTTTTAGCATCCAGTTTCTTATCTAGTTGATCTCATCCAGTGTAGGTTGATTAACAAATCTGTCCAATGGGATTGATGTTTGATAATCAGAATTCTCCTCTATCCAATTGGATGAGGCGTTGTTGGGATTGCGTGTCCAATGGAATGAAGACCTGGAGTTCTTCCACTGCTGTGTCTGCTAACTGAGTTGTAGCTGTGTGCATCTCCTCTTGATCTTTTTACTATAGATGGCTTTTGCATCTCTGCAATCTCTTCCTGGTCTATTTCTTATTAACTCTTAGATACTTTTATAAAGGCTGTAGGTTACAGATGAGATTATTCTTAACATCTGTTTCTCACTACCTCGTAGATTCTACATAAGAGGTAGTGGTTAGCACTGTCTTTTTTTTTTCTGAGTTTGAGTCTTTATTAAAGGGCAATTCCACCACTTTTCAACACCATTTTCATTATCTCCAGCACAATACCAATGTCTACATATGTGAAAATGGCGCATTTATAATTTTTTGTAGAAAATAACATTTTGTTAAAAAGTTCAACCCAACTCTGATGTGAAAATAAACAGCATAGACCGGCATAGGCTGGTGACCAGCCTTTGTTGTGTTTTCACTGGTGACCAGCCTTTGTTGTGTTTACGCTGGCAGATTGGATTAGTTTAGAAAAATGTATGCTATTTATCTTTGTGTAACATAAGATAAATTAATTGATTAATTAATCAATCAATGTACATGCAAAAACACAGATATTGAAACAAACTATTCTAAAATTCAAACTGCAATAGAGCATGCTGGGAAATATGATAATGATGGGTGTGGTTTTGCAGACCAGCTTGACCAGCTAGACCATGCTGGACCAGCATACACTCTCCAGATAATTGAAGGGTTCTTTGTCATGGGTGAGGGTGATATGTGTAACCATTTTTGGGGGGCATATCCGGAAGGGTTCTTTACTGCTGTGATGGTTGTGAAGAACCATCCTGGGCTGGTTTCCCGATAGCGATGGAACATAGGCTGATAGCGATGGAACATAGGCTTACGAGTTTTAACGATGTATCTTTCCTTCAATGGCCGAAGATGTAACATGCGTTTCCCAAAACATCACTCAGAGAGAACGTTTGCTGAGTGCGTCGTTGAGGCTTGTGCCGATACTGATAGGATCGAAAGAAAGGCAGCGCTGCTCTCAGATCAGCGTTCTCCCTTTCAAATTTCACCTTAACATTAGAATTATTCCACAATACTGACGACGGACCAGCTCCTAGAGAGATATTATCACCTATGGCTACAAATATTTTTACGTTGGTGGCTTATTCTAATGCTTACCCTATAATAATGCACTAAATCAAGAATGTTACACATTTACAGACAGTAGCGTACAAATAGCTAAATAAAATTCAATTGAATGAACATGATTTCAATATCATTGAAATATATAGATCTATGTAGCCTATACTGTATTTATCTTTTAATACAGTTATCTCGGTTTTCATTTGAAGTGTCTTTATATCCTTCGCTTGTTAGTAACAATTGCAAAGAAATTGGCAACTTTGCATTTGTAGTCACATTAGTTCTGAAGTTATCGGTGGTTACAGAAAGACAGATAATCGTCTTGATTTTGTGTTTAGCAGAGATCTTCTGTGTATAAAGTGACGCAGAAGGGCAAAAATACATCTAACGACGCACTTAGCTGTTCGAAGAGTTTTCAAGAGCAACTTTAGAAACAATGGTTTTGAGAAACAGCTCAGAGACTTAATGACGCTCCTACGAAGGTTCTAACGATGAAGATGCTTTAAGATGCTTTGGTTAACCGGGCCCAGTTCTTTCCCTCTCCACCATATTTTCATTTTATGCAATTAAATGCTACACTAGTTACAAGTTCCTGTAATTTTACAGTACACTGTTGCAGTGAAAGTAAGGTAAACAACAGCTCAATTAAGGTGTTATTGCTGTAGAAAAACAGTATACAGCTGAATGCTGTTTACTTGAGACCATACCTCTCCTGGGATTTGAACTCACAACTTCTTGGTTGCTAATGACCTGAATTACCTTCTACACCACCAGGTCTGTGAGCATGACAGAGATTGGCTACAGATTTATTGGCAAGAATACATTTCTGCACTTTGCTAAAAGTTGCCCAGAATCAAGTCAATAATTGTCCGATTATCTGACAACACCAACGTAAAAATAGGAGTGCTCAGGGACAATTGATGTAAAGTGTGGATAAATGCTTTGGGGATTTGAACTTGCATGCATTAAGTGCATTAATGTTTCAGAAGTGCCACCAGCTATATCTTTATTACCAAGAGCATATGTCCACAAACTCTCAAAATTAATGTACGGTTAGGGTACAGTGTTGTTCCCTGGGGTACAAAAAAGGTCAAAGGTACAAATAAGGTACCTTCAGAGGTACACATAGATAGTCACATGGTACTGGTCGGTTCCTTTTAGGGAACATGTGGGATAATCTAGTATAACGGTACATTTTTCTAACCAATATTTTGAATATAAGGTGCAATCATTACCGCGCTTTGAAATGTAGGTGGGGGCAATGTACCGGTGGGGCTCATAAGCACATTTGGGGGCATGATACAATATACAGTACCAGTCAAAAGTTTGGACACAACTACTCATTCAAGGGTTTTTCTTTATTTGTACTATTTTCTACATTGTAGAATAATAGTGAAGACATCAAAACTATGAAATAACACATATGGAATCATGTAGTAACCAAAAAAGTGTTAAACAAATCAAAATATATGTTATATTTGAGATTCTTCATAGTAGCCACCCGTTGCCCTGATGACAGCTTTACACACTCTTTGCATTCTCTCAACCAGCTTCATGAGGAATGCTTTTCCAACAGTCTTGAAGGAGTTCCCTCATATGGTGAGCACTTGTTGGCTGCTTTTCCTTCACTCTGTGGTCCAACTCATCCCAAACCATCTCAGTTGGGTTGAGGTCGGGTCATTGTGGATGCCAAGTAATCTGATGCAGCACTCCATCACTCTCCTTCTTGGTAAAATAGCCCTTACACAGCCTGGAGGTGTGTTGGGTCAGTGTCCTGTTGAAAAACAAATGATAGTCCCACTAAGCCCAACCAGATGGGATGGCATATCGCTGCAGAATGCTGTGGTAGTCATGCTGGTTAAGTGTGCCTTGAATTCTAAATAAATCACAGACAGTGTTACCAGCAAAGCACCCCCACACCATAACACCTCCTCCTCCATGCTTCACGGTGGGAACTACACATGCAGAGATCATCCGTTCACCCACACTGCGTCTCACAAAGACACGGCGGTTGGAACCAAAAATCTCAAATTTGGACTCCAGACCAAAGGACAAATTTCCACCGGTCTAATGTCTATTGCTCGTGTTTCTTGTCCCAAGCAAGTCTCTTCTTATTGGTGTCCTTTAGTAGTGGTTTCTTTGCAGCATTTCGACCATGAAGGGCCGATTCACACAGTCTCCTCTGAACAGTTGATGTTGAGATGTGTCTGTTGCTTGAATTCTGTGAAGCATTTATTTGGCTGCAATTTCTGAGGCTGGTAACTACTGAATTTATCCTCTGCAGCAGAGGTAACTCTGGGTCTTTCATTCCTGTGGCGGTCCTCATGAGAGCCAGTATCATAATAGCGGTTGATGGTTTGAAGAGACGGCCCCCTAACCAATTGTGCTATTATGTGTGTTTTTTCGCGTTATTTTTAATTTTTTCTGTACACATTGTTTCTGCTACTGTCTCTTATGACCAAAAATTGCTTCTGGATATCAGGACAGCGTTTACTCACCTCGTATTGGACCCCAAAAAAATATTATTCAACGAGTCGGACGCGAAGGATATTCTACAGACACCAGACAAGGCCCAAATATCTGTCATTCGCATGAGAAAGAGACGGAGATATCGTGGACGTAGGTCGGGGTGCCTTGTAATGATCCAACGGCGAGTAATCTGCTTCTTCCATCAGTCCTATTAGCCAACGTACAATCATTGGAAAACAAAATGGACAACCTAAGATCAAGGATATCCTACCAACGAGACATTAAAAACTGTAATATCTTATGTTTCACCGAGTCGTGGCTTAACGACGACATGGATATCATACAGCTGGCGGGATATACGCTACATCGGCAGGATAGAACGGCTGACTCCAGTAAGACAAGGGCTGGTGGTCTCTGTATATTTGTAAACAACAGCTGGTGCACGAAATCTAATACTAAGGAAGTCTCGATGTTTTGCTCGCCTGAGGTAGAGTATCTCATGATAAAATGTAAATGTAATAAGCTGTAGACCACACTATTTACCAAGAGAGTTTTCTTCTATATTTTTCGTAGCTGTCTATTTACCACCACAAACCAATGCTGGCTCTAAGATTGAACTCAATGAGCTGTATAAGGCCATAAGCAAACAGGAAAACGCTCATGCAGAGGCAGCGCTCCTTGTGGCTGGGGACTTTAATGCAGGGAAACTTAAATCCGTTCTACCTAATTTCTACCAGCATGTTAAATGTGCAACCAGAGGGAAAAAAACTCTAGACCCCCATTACTCCACACACAGAGACGCGTACAAAGCTCTCCCTCACCCTGCATTTGCCAAATCTGACCACAATTATATCTTGCTGATTCCTGCTTATAAGCAAAAACTAAAGCAGGAAGCACCAGTGA